CAAACGTTTCGGACATTTCTGGTCCCTTTTTTCCCCATTACAACTTATTTTGAACAATTTTCATTCCTGCCTCCCTTTTTATGGCCCTATCATTTTTTTATACAACAGTTTTCTGTCAAATTCACCACATAGATACCTTTAGACATGACAAATACAAAAACGGGACAAAATAATGGTGTTGATGGAAATACAGGTCAAATATATTATATTTATTTTCGCCGCGCAGCACGCGGCGGTGAGCATAAAAAGGCGCCGGCCACACGCGCCCGCCACGGCAAAAGTGCGCGGTCCGGAAAGGGTTAAAGGATAAGGTCGCAGCTGTACTTTCGTCAGGTCGCTCGTACAACTCGTGTGTGGTAGGTGCGTATCGATCGTGTGATCGTCCGACTCATCTGATTGTGCAGTCGCTGCGGTCGCATGGGAAATACGTTTCCTTCGCACACTCGGTTATGGGATCAGACAAACAGTCGAAATAAATTGTAACTTTGTGCCAGCGTTGAAATTTGCAGCTCTCCTAGAAAGTGCTAAAAAGATGAAGAGGTAGCGGTTGTGTACAACGGGTAGTCTGCAAATGAACGACTCATTGACAAAAAATCAAGTCTACTTTCAGCTGCGTATCTCACTCTGTCATCCTTTGGCCATCGTTTCTGTCGCTAATCTTTCTGCCTCTTATTTATTCTCAAGGAAAGGCCTTTTTGTAGTGATCAGTGATGATGAGATGTAAATTCGTGTATTCGTCTCAAACACTGATCTCAAATCTGCCAAAGGGGTCCATGAGAAGATGTGAAAGCTTATGATAAGTATTTCCTTGCAATGTGGTAATGAAGGAGTAGCTAATTGCGTAACAATGGAACATTTGGTAGCGGTACAGAATCGAAATCTGAAAGTCGTGAATTTAGTTCCTCCGCCAACATGCGGCCTTGCTACTTCGGGAATGTGGCTAAAAACTAATCAGCCTTGTCGTTAGTTTAGCAAAGCTTTCCTTCAGTTGTCTGTGGAAAGATTTGCGCACAACTAACAACTCTGTTCACTGTTTGCTCATGATTTTTGACGCCCGTAGCACATGTGCTATGAACTTTGGCGTCGAACAAGTGCGATATTCTCTTTGAGGGCTTGAAATACTTTCTCGGGCCACTTTCCAGACAAACCTCTGGTTTTGGCCTGAGTTCGAAAAAGTGTACAATCGTATGTGTTTCCCTAGAGATGGAGCTAACTTTTTATGGGAAACGGCAAGCGTTTGTATATGAAAGTAGTCGTGTGATCATGTCGCCAGATAAGCAAGACATTTTTCCTTTCGTTGGCATGGCCAAAAGGTTGATTCCCTTACATAGCAGTGATTGCTAATATGAGAAGATGGATGGCTGCTCTAATTTTTCGTAGTTTGAAGAACGCTCAAGGAGTAATTTTCTTCTCTTCCCCAACTGAGAATTTTAGTATGCGGCTCTAAGTTTCGTTATTGACGAATCTGGTAACAAATGTGGAGTATGTAGCGATGATAGCGAAATCATCGATTAGCAGATTACGAAAGCTTCCTAGACTTTTTGACGGCTTGCGCGTTGCTTTGTCATCATTGAAGAGAGAAAGTATCGAAGTGGCTTTCATATCTTGCTGAGTCCGTGAGTGCTCAATGGTCTTGCAAGTCGAAGAGTGTTCAGAACGCCTTTTCAAGATTTTTAGCAATCTTACTTCTGGCTGTGATTTGTTTGCGCTGATATTGAGCTTTTAATCGGTATTGACGAATCAGTGGTGATAAAATACGTATTGAATGGGAGATTGGGAAATTGCGTGAATAGGAGATTCCAGTCGAAAGGTTTGATTGATTTGAATAAAAAGCCTAGTCTTATTTCCTCACAATCAAAGCGTATCTAATCCTCGACGATGAGTCTCCTAATCTTCCATCGCGTAATCTTCTTATCTTTGAATCTTAGGCCGCGTTCATAGTTCGCGACTCGGGAGATTAGGATAGTAGGCGACAGGATATTAGGATAGTAGTAGAGTAGGAGATTGCGCTGACAAGATTGGATACGTATCGATTGAAATCGCTGGAGAGTAGTAGATTGGGCGACTTCAAGCGAATAGATCAATACATATCTAATCTTGTCAGCGCACTATCCTAATCTACTACTATCCTACTATCCTACTATCGTAATATCGCAATCTACTACTCTCCGGCGATTTCAATCGATACGTATCTAATCTTGTCAGCGCAATCTCCTACTCTACTACTATCCTAATCTACTATCTAATCTCCCCGTCAATACATATGTTTTTCATTGTCGCGTACTATCCTAATCTCCGGAGTCGCGAACTATGAACGCGGCCTTAGAGTATAAACACAGCCTTAATTCCGTCTTTATGAGAAGGTCTACTTCCTTACTGAGATTCCCTAGCTTCTTTCTTGTGTGACATTGGTGAAATCATAGGAGCTTTACCACAGGTGAGAGATTTCATTCGCAAATTAGAGGCTACCACCATTGTCGATTCCTTACTCATTTGGTCAGTAAGAGTGAGCTTCGGCCCTTTTTTCTTTGTCGTATGCAGCATTTAAAATTCTTTCTCAGCATGCACTACTGCAATGTTACTTAAATTTTTGGGTGGAAACAGGAATTTAAGGGAATCGTCGCCTCAACGTAGGATAAAATTGCCAGTCTGTGACCGCACTCTATCACGCACATGTGAATGGTTCCTTGGCGATATCCATCGCGGCGGCTAAGGTTCTCGATCTCAGCTCCCCGTCGTTAGCATCTTACTTTCTTTCCTTTGCTGATCTGCGCCGACTTTTCCCGGTCTATGTACAGGCTAGTAAGTTTATGGGGTTTTAGTTCTACCTCTCCTCACCTTGGCGCACACTCCGCCCCTATTACGGCAAGACCTTTGCTTTCTCGCGAGCATCTTCGCCCCTTGTGGACGGGCCTTTTTCTCCATTTCTTCTTTTGTTCCGTATACCGTCTTGCAACCAAAATGTGATTTCTTTAGCGTTGGCACATCTGGATGACATTGCCTTCAAACGTGTCCTCGCAACGCTGTGTCCGCTTTTTTCCACCTCTGGGCTGTTCTAGAACCAGCGCTATCGCAAACTGCGGGGGCGTCCTGTAGAACTAAGCCTAGGAGTTTGGCAGGAACTTTGGAGAAAACGAAAATAGCTCACGCACTCTGGCCTCTCACGCTAGGGTTTAGTCCCGCTTTTAACAAAAAGAATGTGTATTACGCTGTTTAAAATTCATTACCACCACAATGCCCGCGTATCTTGCGATAGCGGCCTGGAACTGATCAGAACCCAGCATCGGATCGTTCGGCGCATATTCCTTCGCCGTGGGTGAGGTTCTGCTTGGCTGATGTGTGTTTTGTACTTCTTGCCCCATGTTCTACCAATCCAAAACCTTACTCGGGATCTCCAGGTGATTTCGCAGGTAATACCAAATTTAATATTGACAAACACTGAAAGAAGTAGGCGTAGCGAAGTATATCCACATAGTTTCTATCAAGTGCATGTCACTTCCGGTGACACGCCCACCCCAACTCACCGATATCCTTCTATTATATAAAGCGCTAACTTTGTGTGTCGGTTTGTGTATCTGTATGTGTGTGTGTGTGTGTGTGCGTGTGTGTGTGTGTGTGTGTGTGTATGTATGTGTGTCCGTCCGCAAAATGAAGTGAGTGAGAAGGAAGCTCATCGG